CTTCACTTTTGAAGAAGGTGTTGATTACACTGAAATCTTTTCTCTTGTTGTGAAATACTCTATTGTTAGATGTTTACTTGCTTCAGTTGCTCATTTTAAATGAGAACTTGATCGGTTGGATGTTAAAATTGCCTTCTTACATGGTGATTTAGATGAAGTTATTTACATGAAACAACCTATTGGTTTTGAAATTGGAAATCCTGAAAATACTGTTTGTCTATTAAAAAGATCCTTATATGGATTAAAGCAAGCTCCTAGACAATGGTATAAGAGATTTGATATTTTTGTTCTAAACCTTGGTTTTAGAAGAAGCCAATTGACAACTGTTTATATTTTAAAGGAGATGTATGTGAAAATTCTCTTTATTTTGTTCTCTGTGTGGATGATATGTTGCTTGCCTGTTATGATAAATCTGAAATTGATTATATCAAGTTAAAATTGAAGTCTGAATTTGAAATGACAGACCTTGGTTCTGTTAAAAAGATATTAGGCATGCAAATTTGGGGAAAGAAAGAGAAAGACATACGATTTTTGAATCAACATGATTATGTGATTAAAGTTTTGAAAAAAATTAACATGTATGATTGTAAACATGTAACATTGCCTCTTGCTAATCATTTTAAGCTTTCTTCTGAGTTCTGTCCTAATTTTGAAGAAAAGTATGCTAGAATGTCAAAAATACCNAAGCATTTAGAAAAAAATTTTATGGTTGAGTGTAAACATGTAACCTTACCTATTGCAATTCATTTTAAACTTTCAAGTGAACAATCTTCTAAAATTGGTGAAAATTTTGATTGGATGAGAAAAATACCTTATGCAAATGTTGTTGGTTCTGTTATGTATTTAATGATTTGTACTAGACTCGATCTTGCATTTGGTATTAACATATTGAGTAGATTTATGAGTAACCCATGGGAAGAACATTGGAATGCTTTAAAATGGTTATTTAGATATCTTAAATGCACACATAACTTGGGTTTAATGTTTAAATCAAGTTAAAATGGTGTAACCTTAAAGGGATATACTGATTCTGATTTTGCTTGAGACAAAGACAATAGAAGATCAACTACTTCTTACTTTCATACCTTACGTGGTACTGTTTTTATTTGGAAATTTCAACTTCAAAGAGTAGTTGCTTTATCTTCCACTGAAGCAGAATATATTGCTGCCACTGATGCAGTGAAAGAGGGAATTTGGTCAAATGGTTTAATGTCTGAACTGGGTTTTACTGATAATGATGTTGTGTTACTATCTGATAACCAAAGTGCTATTCATTTGAGCAAAAATTTTATGTTTCATGATAGAACTAAACATATTGATGTGAAATATCATTTTATAAGATATGTCATTTCTAAAGGGATTCTTAAAATTGGAAAAGGCTCAACTCAACATAATCCATCTGATATGGGTACTAAAGTAATTCCTTTGAATAAGTTTTTAAACTGTTTGAAATTGTTATTTGTTGAATCTTTATGGTGTATGAACATGTATTTTAGAGAAAATAAAAATTGCTTGAGATTATGTTCTGGACTATACTATAACCCAAATTCTGACAGTAAGGTGGAGATTGTGGAAATTGAACCAGGTCCAATTGTGTTGCTCCCATAATTTGTGAAAACCGCAATAGCCAAATGCGATTTTGTTAAATTTACACTTTCAATCGGATTGCGATACGTGGACAAATCTTAGTTGGTTTGTATTTTGGAGAGTTCTATTATTATTGCTATTCTCGACTTTTGGTTTTAGGGTTTTCATTTTCTCTGTTCTCTGTGTGAGAGTGTCGTTTCTGAAGGTTTTTATGTGTTCTGATCTCTCTGTAATTCATTTTCAAATTCTTGATTTGAGAAGGCGATCTATAATATTGTAGCCTCATCTGTGATGATATTCTGAGTGAATATCTGTTAGGAAGTATTTGTACTTCTAGCTTGTTGTTTCTGAGGTTCTAAGGTGATCATTTGTGGTTCGAGTAGATCGATTGCTGTATTTGTGAGAGATAAGTATTCTGTATCTTTTCTTCATAACATTGTTGTAATCTTTGTTGCCATTTTGGGCATTATAGTGGAATAGAGCATAATCTAACTTTTGGATGTTCAATGGGAAATGTAGGTATTGGATGTGGTCACCGAACCTCTGGAGCTTAGCCCAAAACATATCGATTGCGTTTTTTTAATTTTATGCACTTTATTTTCAGAGAATGTTTTGATATTCTTGTTTCTTGATCTAATATCATGTATTCCTGGCCTAACACTTTTATTTTATAGAGGAAGAATGAGTGAGCCATGTGTTAAGCTTAGTAATAATTAATAGTGACTAATCAAAACAATGTAGCAAATAAGCTTTTGAGATAGATTTTGAAGGATGACACTTATATAGGAGAAATTTATTCCCATAATTAAATAGCCATAAACCATAGTTATTAGACCTGATCCGGTCATGGACTCGGTCAAGGTACTGGGTCAACGGGTTATTGGTTGGACAGGTGAATCGATGGTCGGATTGGTGGGTCATTACTTAAAAAATATCTAAAGAATTTTAAAGTATAATTTATTTATTTATTTTTGTTGCTTGAGACAGTTAAAATTTTCAAGTTATTTGTTACTA